TAGAGTCTTCCTAAGGAGAATCACATGTAGAGAAAACATTCCTCAGGCTTTCACTGCTAGCAAATTGGTCAAGCAATGGTTGTGACACATTCACATGGCTGACACTAACAAAGGATCTATAAACTGTGGTTGAGGGATTCAGGATAAATCTTGAGGAGATTTGACTGATCTTATCAGATCCAAAAGCTACAACTCTTGTTGCATAGGTCTTGCTTTATCTTGGTCTTAACCGTCCAGCGGAAAAGTATAAAAATGAAGTACAAAAAGTAAAGCCATGTTAATATGCTGAGCTGTAAAAGGCTCAGGTCAACAATGTCTGACATTGCCAGTACTATGGATAACCCACTACTATTATGGACTACTGGACTATATTGGAATATTTTGCTGAATAGAACCACCTACAATATTTGAATGGCAGTGAAATACATTCTCTGACAAAACTAAACAAAAAAAAAAGAGAATACAAATAAAGGACCATTTCTTTTTAAACTGTGCAGAAGCTATATTTTCAAACATGATTCCTTTTATCACAATCAAAGAAAATGATAAAAAAGTTTAATATGTAACAGTACAATTTCATTTAAAATATATCTTTAGTTTAAATTTACAGTGTTTTAATAATTTTATTGAGAAACAAATAGCAATGAGACCGTTTCAAAACGGATTACTAACACACTTTCAATAATTAATACACTGCATATAGTTGTCTTAATGATTACTCATTGTACAAGATGCATACATAATATCCTGTCCACAAACACTATTAGAACTAATCTCTCTACTCATTGATGTAAGAGAATGCTGCTGTATATCTATAATAACTATTTTGAGTACACAGATACAAAATGGTTGTTCATTGGTATCCTGCTTTTTTGGTTACTTTGGTCAGAGAAGGGAATTGCATTGTCATTTAAATATAGTAGGTTCATGACTTCAACAAAATACTCCAATATAGTCCAGTAGACCATAATAGTATTGGGTTTTCTATAACAATGGCAATATCAAAAATTGTGGACTTGAGCCTTTTACAGCTCAGCATAATATGGCTTTATATTTATACTTCATCCTTATACTTTTCTGTTGGATGGTTAAGACCAACATAAAGCAAGACCTACATAAAAAGAAATATAACTTTTGTATCTGATAAGGTCAGTCAAATGCCTTCAGGATTCAGCCTGAAATCCTGTACCACAGTTTGTAGATCCTTTGTCAGTGTCAGTCATGTGGATGAGTCACGGCCATTGCTTGACCAAATTGTTCTCTGTGAAAGGCTGAGA